TTTTCTCAATCTCTCTTTATTCAATTATTTAAATATTATCTGGATTAAATATATCAATTTGATAACATAGCACACAAAAAACACAAGAATGGAAGAACGGCGCCGTCTAGTGAAGATCGAAAGCAAAATTTATATCTTATTTCATCACTCATTTTTAGCACTGGAAATATTTCCACGTTATCTACACACATTGCAGATGTTGCTTTATATACATTTAGAGTATTCTTTTTTAAACGCATTCTTCTGGTCAGCACAAGGTAATGACCACGAGGAGACGAGTCGATGGCAATAGCAGCAATTTCTTAATGCGCAACACACATTAACAAGTTATTTCACGTTTATTTTTAAATTTCAGCATAATTATTTCATAGCTGGATTAATTTTCAACGTAATCTTTAAGGATAATTTGTGCAATTCACATGATGCTTCGCTCCTTCTTCTCCATAAAAAAAAGGACATCATTCCATGAGTGTGAGATATGCAAGGGGCGCAGCCCTGCATACTCGTTCAAGACGTAGTCAGCAAAGAGAGGGACTGTTTAGCGGGTATTTATATGCACGTGTAGTTCTGCGATTGCGATTAATGTTACGATAGTGTCCATGATGATGAACTGCGTGGTGTGAGAAATTTCCATTCTCACAGTTCTGAATGTGTGTTACGAGTAGTTCTCAGCTTCAACAATTTAGTCATATGAACAATTTATAGCAACAAATTTTACCACTGAAATGTTTTAACAACAAATACTGATTCTAGAATTCTAAGAAAACAAATCAACAACAAATCAAAACAATCAGTAAATACGAATGCGAAAGTTTCAATCAAGAACAAAACAAGATCCTCGATTTCACACAACTCCACAGCTTCAACAATTATAAAATATTCTATTTAAACAAATTTTCAACAAACAGTTTATTAGCCCCACCGTACAATTTCAAAGTCCTTCTTCATTACATTCCCAGCCACTGCGCCACTTGTGTTCAAATTTGAAAGACTACTTCGGGTTCGACGACTTGACATTAGTGGTTATTAATATTGATCTTGATTTGATAGGTGAGCTTCTGGTTGGTTTCCTTTGCTTTCTAATCGGTGTTATCTACATGTTAGCTTTTATCATTGAATGTTTATAAATCTCCCGTTCTAATTTTAGTACTTAACATAAATGATTTTCTGCTCAGTACGTAGAAAAATCACAAGAATTGCAAATAACTCTTTCAAATTCAATAAAATGTAAGTACATGAAAATGTGTAAATGGTAACAATACGACATGGTAAAAGCTAGAACACCAGTGGAACTTTTAACGGTATTTTAGGCAAATTTATGCCTAAAGATACTTTTCTGAGCCTCCGGATAGTTGACATTTGCTCTCAACGTTAATGTAATTTCATTTACAATATGTTTCGTAGTCTCACACGAACACTGTATGGCGGCCATGACAAGTCGTGACGCCAAGTTGTTGACATTTCCTTGAATTCATTTTTGTGACATCATGCTTATTCCATCTATTCTACCCTCCTTATAAACGGTATTCATAACATAATTATGTATCTTTTATAACAACGCATGTATGTACTCAAATAACGCAAGCCGCAAATAAGGAATGTAAACAGGTCTAATGTATGTCTTACCTCAGTCAAGCTGTCAAGTACATAACTAATGTATTCATGTAACTTCATCGTGTATCCAATGTATTAATGTATTTTATTGATGGATCGTATTTCATGCTTTAAGAATTATTATTATTATTATTGTTATTATTATTAGTAGCACTATGACTATTATTAGTATTTGATATATTACTATTATTTGATATATTACTATGAGATGCATATGTATTATTTTTCAGGTATGTGTATTATTTTGCATGTATATGTATTATTTTGTAGGTATGTGTATTATTATTAGTATATGTTGATGTATCTATGAATTATGGCGACGTGCGTCCAAGAGCATCACCGACGCATTCTAACAGCTTATATTCATGCAGCTAACGTATTCATGTAACATCATCCCGGATCATGTTAGTTCATGCGGCTTCGCAGAGAAGCAAATGCATTCTCGAGGCAGGCCTCCTGGGGCCAGCACCCCCTAGTTAGTTCTAGGGGGTGTTGCCTGGGACTCGGGAGCTGCCGGTTCAAGATAGTGGAGGGCGTGAGACTTATATCTGCTTACCTTTGTTAGACATCAGGTGTCCCCGTCCTCCGTCACCTATCAACTGCACAGGAACAACGCAATGGCGCAGCAACTGTTACGTAATGTAAAAATAGAATATTCTCATTCGCTGCAACACCACCCACTTATAATGAAATCTTGTGAAACCATTTAGACCAGACGGGAATAAAATAAAACTTAACGCTTTTGTTCAAAGAAAGAAAAATAACAGAGTATTTTTATGGGCAGAAATGAACTGAAATATTGTAATCGTGTTTCATTTCTTTTTATATAAATGATATGTATTATGATAAAGTGAACTAAGATAGGAAGAAATAATTTCATTATATAAAATATAAGATGAAAGGTCTTTTACAGAAGAGTACATTAACTACAAATAAAAGGCGCTTTAGAATAATACAATTCACGCACTTCAGGAGTTGTAAATTGTAAGATAATTCCTAGCATTTTTATGATTAGGTTGAATTTTATGCACCATATTCCATTTTAAAAATAATGCTTAAAAGTCTTTCATTCAAATGCTAGCAGAAATGCATGCGCCATTATCTTTAATATAAATTACTATTAGAGGAAAACAGCGTTTAAGAAATGCTTGTAACACCACGGTAAGTGCATTTAACTCTTACATGTGCTTCGTAAAAAGGGAATGTTTTAAATGCTGTAAAGGTAAAAATTTAAATGTTAAAAGGAAATGTTTAAAGTCAAAAGGATAAATAATGCGCATCGTCTTTTTCTACGACATAGCACCGAAAGCAGAACAACGCGCAGCAGAATTCTCAATGAGAAACAATTATTCGAACAAAAATGGAAAAATGTTGTCTTAATAGATACATTTTGGGTGCATTTAAATGACCGCAATAAAAAGCAGATCCACGTATTATCATTAAATAGAAGAAGAAAATCTTAGAACATGGTCAAGGAATCTGAAGATAGGTTTTCAAAGAGATTTCTAATTGTTGCTGGTTTTCGATATAACGGCAAATAAAAATTAAAGAGAGTGCAAAAAATTGTTAAGATCAACTCTGTATTTTCAGAAACATATTTATATCCTGTTTTGAAATATAAAATACCTCTTCTTTACTCACAGTGCCATCAATCAGTAGAAGTGCATCAAGACAAAACAAGGTAAACAACAGACAAAACAAGCTACTGTTAAATTTCCGGAAAAAATGGAACAAGAAGCGGGTATCAAGGCCATACCCTTCACTGAATTCTGTATTAAATCTCCTCATGATTGCGCTTATAGACTTCTTAAAAGCAAACTTTTCAAACGTCGACCTATAGCCTTCCTTGGACTCTGGAAAGCTGGTCAAGAGGAATAGGCTAAAATACCTCTTTCGATACTAAAAAAATCTGAAGTGTACACCACATGACTTCTTTGTACGGAATATTAAATTATACGCATTATTCTTGCATTTACTGGATTAAATTAAATCTACTTCGTCGATAGCTCATAAACGACAATAGAATAAATGCACTCTTTAAAATTCACTGTATTTGTTTACCATAGCGACACTTTGGCTCAAGGTTCACTTAACAGCGTTACATTTCATTCATTTTTTAATTCAGAATGCACAAAATTTATCATCTTAAGAATTTCCTAATCGTTGCCACATGTTCTATTCAAATACTATAATAAATCTAAAACGACGTATAAAAGAAATTAAGCAAAAACAACAGCAACAACAACAAAAAGGTAACAACAAACAGTTTTTCACAGACGATTCAGTATTTCTCATTCAATTAATTCAGATCTCACTTCGTAACAAGGGAAAAATACATAAAAACTCAAAATGTCTGTATTGAAAATTATGAAGTAAATCTTAAACACTTATTTCCTAGAATAAATTCCAGAATTAATTAATCATGATTTAATTCGCAATAATAAAAGGAGGCGTTATCTTTGTTTGGCAACAAATCTTATATTCTGCTGTTTCAAATGTAAACAAGCAACGGCCGCCATGGCAAAATTATTAGGCTTAGTGGCACTTGAACAACTTTTAAATTGTTGATAATTCTACAAATATAGCATACAGATTTACTAAAGGCATAAAAACCTTAATCGGAAGATAAGAACAACATAATTCAATCATTTTTAAAGCAAAAAATGCACAATTTACAAAAATATAAGAATAAAGAAACTGAGATCACTGAGCCGAATAACAGAGTGGATATATTTATATACATTTGGTGCTGCCGATAGCAAATAAAATACGAGGAGCAAACTACATGTTATGGCAGTCCTATATACAAAATGTCAACGTTCTGAGGCTACTCGTTTTTGAGTTATGCGAGATACGTACGTAAGTACAGACGCCATGAAAAATTCTCTTCAGAATTTATTTTAAAGCAGTTTTATAATTTTTTTGGAGGAAAAGAGTCTTTTATTCTGTCCTTACGTACAGATGTCCCGCAAAAACATCGTTAAATTGCATTCGATATCGATCAAAATGGATATTTTCGTTGAAATATGCTGCCTGAAACTTTTCGCGATTACAATAGTTCCTTTTTACTTCGTACAAGGAAGTAAAAAGGCCTTATTGTCTTGGAATTTACGATTTAGAAGGATAGGGAAGATAAAGAGATATCAAATGGAACATTTAAAACACACAACTTGTATGTAAAATATTTCTGTACATACAATAAAAATCGTTTAAAAATGTGCAAACAGCCTCTGCGTGCCGTAAGAGAATGGTGGTATTTTTGTTAGTTTATATGTGTTGAGTAAAGGGCTCTGATTAATAAAACAAATGGGCAGTCCTTTGAATTTTAATCAAAATAAGTATTCCAGAAATGTGCTGATCATTCTTTGAAAATATTTGTCATAAAATTCTGCATGAAGATCTAATTATGCTTACGAAAAAAACACATATTAAAAATATTCACATACTTTTATTTCACTCACTAATTGACATCATTTATTGAAACTGAATGTACAATTCAGGAAAGAAGATATCAGCCGGAAGCTCTCCGAGAGCTTAACAAACCTGGAACTGCAAGATGAAGTTTTGCATCACAAATCAATTCTTTTGTCGCATCTCGGGGGCCATTCCAAATGGTTTCAGCCATCAGAGAGGCAGTGAGAGTTTATGACCTCGTAACAGCCTTTTTTCTGATACTTTTCTGCAAAGATCATGACGAACATTCTATCACAGATATTATATCGTTCAGAGAGCACTTCAAAAATTCAAAGAGTTTTAGCAGATCAAGTTGCATTTCTTTATGAGCTTGGGCCTTAGATGGTCTCTGGATTGACGTATTGAATGCTTTTTTCTTTAGAAATCTTTTAAGGAGCTATAGAAGAACTTTTATACTGTAGCCAGAGAACATTAAAATTCTGAGTAACATAAGTAGAATATAGTGCACAATTGCTCTTCTAATAGTTTAGTTTTGCATTTAGTTAGTCATTTTTATTTCAAATTAGGTGTGGATTGAACATTTATCCTCCTTTTCGTTATTTATGTCTATGTTTAAGCAAACTGAATTTGATATAAAACACCAATAATTTTTATATTTTTTGTTTGCTTTCATAGACTAATCAAACTACATGAAAGTTATTGAGTGAAAACGCAGCATTAGTAATCTTGAAATGGTTTTGGAAATTTTCTACAGTCGACTTGAATTAATTATTTGAATTAAAATTCAGTCAGCATAGCTTATATTTATTAGTAAAATTTAAGTTATGTTACTTAAACTCATTTAATATGAAATTAAAATTCTTAATTAGTAATTTAATTTTTAATAAAATTCTAAATTAATTTTAAATTTGAAAGATTTTAAATGTTTTATTAAACTGAGATAGAAACCTGATCAGAAACTGTACAGTCTTTTGGTATTAAATTTAATGATATGTAAGAGACATATTATAAATCAGTTTGCTATATGTTTTAAAAGAAGGATGTTATACAGTTTTTTGAAATATGTATTTACATGATTTATAGTTTCTTCACATTTAGAAAATGATGAAATGCCAACAAGCATTACAAAGCCAACCTTCGTACAAAATTAAATTAAGTGAAAAATAAAAAATGAAATCAACGCATTTTAAAGCATGCCATGCAGGAGCTATGCCATGTAGCCCATGTCTTAAAGCTATGCTGGAAAACTCATGTAGCTTAAAGCATACCATGTAGGAGCTATGCCATGTAGCTCATGTCTTAAAGCATGCCATGTAGGAGCTATGACATGTAGCCCATGTCTTAAAGCATGCCATGTAGGAGCTATGCCATGTAGCCCATGTTTTAAAGCTATGCCGGATCGAGCAGACTCACATACATGGATCCATTCCTTGTTTAAGAGAAGAATAGTTGTTGGTTAATTGGAATGGTTGGTTAACTGTGTTCTTAATATTTGTAAATGCAAATAACATCAAGTTTAAAAATTCAAATCTCACGTTTCACATATGTGATAAAGTACATGAGCCAGATAAATCCAGCCAATTAAGAGAGAGCGAGAGAAATGTAAGGGAATTCGGTCTTCTATAAACATGCAAGTTAAAAGGAATGAATATCATTATGAATCCTTAAGTAGAACATTAATTTACAAGCTGAGAATTAATGGATTCATAGAGGGAATAAGAAAGGTTAGGTGAGGTCATTTGAATATGGCAAAGCCACTATCTGCCCATGAGTGGGCTTTCTGGAGAAAACTGGCTGGTATTTACATTACACATGGGGGAAAACTACGAAAACCAACTATGCAGTCAGCCCGTTCATCTGGCAAGATTCCAAACCAGGTCGAACTACTAACATTCAGCGGTCTTAACCACTCGGCCACTGGTTCGGCCGGGATGAGAAAGGATGTTGTACATGGTAATAGATATGTTCAATTGAAAAAGGGTTTAAAATTTGATTCATTTCATTAAAATTAATTTCTTATAGGTCACGCAAATGGATTATTCTCTGAAGCGTGATTATTGTTTCTTCTACGACACTTTGTGGTCCAGCCGGCAGAAAACCTAGCTCCGATTTTCCAGAAAGCACGCTTGAAGCTTGCATTACACAATGCATATATCATTGGATTCACAGTGGAATTCAGATAACCAAGCCAGATGGCAGCTGTATGAACGCCTGGTTCAAGGCAATTATTGCACGCTGCTGTCACCACGAAGAGCACCATGTAAGGCAACCAACAAAGAACGAAGGCCCCAATGATGACACCTAGCTGTCGTGCTGCCTTTGTTTCTTGTCGTAAACTGAGCATACTTCGACGTGAAGGTCTTCGTAAAACAGCACGGGTAGCCCCACATAAGATTCTGAAACTGGAGCTACGACTCGGTGGTGGTAAGTCTGAAGACTGTGGCACTCGTAAGTGCATATCTGTGACTTCCAAGGTTGGAGATGCTTGTGGTTTGCTAGAAGAAAAAAAGTAATTTTCTTATCACGTCTTAAAACTCATATGAAAAGTAAAAATGCATAAAAATTACATTGCAAAAAATGCTTCATTCAAATTTAAAATTAGAAAATTAAATTTTGTCATAGTTAATATGAAATAATACCATTCTAAGCTGACATCTGTACTAAATTATGGGAAAACGTCAAAGAAAGGATCATCGGAAGAAAGAAAGAACCATATCTTCAGTTAAAACTGAATTTTATGTAAGAAACCAGAATGAATGTCCTATCTGTTTCACATTTTGAAATTTTACGCGTCAAAAATATACGAGACATATTTAAGATATTCGTAGAGAAAGAAAAAAAACGTAAACATGGTTCAGAAATATAATCTTGATAAATTTAAAGAAATGTATTTCATATTTATTTGGATGTTTCAAATTTTAGTTGTTTCACATTATTATAGCTATTGATTTCTAACAGCTGAAGCATATAATGCTGTATTCAAGAATTGGAATTTAAAGTTCTGCTTTTTAAATTTAGTTTTTAAAAGGAACATCGAAAACTTAATTAAAAATAAATTTACTTTTATTCTTATGATAAATTTCTCAATGTTTTGAGTTAATCTGGCATTAAATTCAGCATTTGTTTTTATTAAAGAAGATAAATACATAAATATTGATGATGTAAACTTTTAGAGGTTTTTGCAGAACATCTGGAATGAAAGTGTATTTGCATTTACTGAGAAGCGTAAACAAATTTCAAAGTAAACAAGCAGCGAGATAATTTCTTAATTCAGACAAAAATACACTTACGTATTTATCCTACAAGATCTGCTATTTCAAGAGAATTTTAATATGCGTATCATGAACCGTATATAAACAACCAGCCTGGGGCAAAGATTTTGAAAGTAGTTGTCGCCGCAACAAAGTGCATCGTTATGTTGAATAAAATATGCCTGTGTAATGGAAGAACCCCAAAAGAGCACAGCAGTGTCTTTTGCTTTCGACTGTGGAACAGATGTCTTCCAGTACTATATATGAAGGAACGCTGACTATTTAATAGCTAGTATAACTTAGAGCAATCAGAAATAAAGGAATACAATCGACGATTTTGAGAAGACCAAATATTTATAAAGGTAATGCACGTTTACAGTAACTACAGTCACAGTACACCAGGGAGAAAGGGCTTCCAGACATGGCTTAAGATGCTTTCTATGGTTAGCGCCCCACAAGCAAAGAAAGTAAAGGTTTCCCGAAGCAAATGTGGCTCCGCCAGACTGAAGAGACACTCTGTGTATGTCCCTGAAGCTTATTTTAAAGGGGCAATCCATCCACCCTCCGTACCTTTCTGCGCATGTGCGAAATAGCAGGCAAGAAACCGGCATGTCGTCAGCCATATTAGCAATCTTTTACCACGTTGTTCGAAGAGGTTCATTGAAAGTTTTTTTCAGTTCTTTTCTCTGGTTATTTAAGCTGATCATAAGATGGATGTTTCGCAAGGACGATCACCGGAATTCACCGATTCTCTTTCTGTGAGGTAGCTTGCTTTTTTAAATTCGAAAACCTATCATAGATTTTAAAAATTGATTTTGTATAGTACATTAATTTTGATTCCCAAGCTCCAAAAATATTTTGTCTCATTGTATCAACACAGCAGCTAGATTTTCATTCTTAATATATTAACTTTTTGCATTTTAGCATATGAATCTCAATTTATATAATTAATCATATGGCAAACAAATACTATAGTTTTTGCAGGCATATTGCTATTTCTTTCCAAATTTTTTTACTGAGTTTTAAGCTTTAAAGTCAACTAATAATAATATTACGACAAAACGAGCGATCAGGAATAAATTTGCCATTTATAATAATGCGGCAACTAATGGCATGTATGATTGCATAAATTAATTTTATTAATAAATTGTATTATGCTTCAGCTTTAAATTTATGCTATAATTACCAAATAATTTATCTGAGAAAATTTATAAACTTAGTTAATATTAGTGGCCACTGAAGACTATTTTTAATGTTAGTATATTGATAGTTATATACAATTTTTCGTATTTTATGATCATTTTTGAAAATTTTATATTCATTATTATAAAAATATAATTTTTGATTTCTCTCAATATTTGATGTGGTGTGGTGAATAACAGACTAACTCAATCTATCTATCTTTTACTTAGCAAACGAACCCAAATCCTGGTATCGCTGTAGTGTGTTTGTGGGACAACGTCGTCGAAAAACACCAGACAGGAAATTCTTTCAGATTTCCTAAGGATCCTATTAGGTAAATCATTTCTAAAGTTTAAAAGAAACTAAGCTTTGATTATTAATTAATATATATCGAGTATCTCAATTTTTGATAGAGCAAGCAAATATTTCATGTATTTGGAATAATTTAAATAAATAGCTTGTGTTTTTTTTTCCATTAAGTGTTCCTCATCATAGGACAAATAGTTCAGTGTTCTTCTGTAAATATTCAAGATAACTGTGCTTGTGATACAGTTGCTCCCAAAAGTGTTCATACACTTTAAGAATTTGTAAAAAATGCGCTGTAGCCCGGAATTGAATTTGATTATAAAGCCCAATATTTTTCTCATATCTCGAAGTGATTTTGAATAAAACCAAATTTTTTAAAAATTTTTTCTTCTAATATTTTAGAGGATAATTTTTGTAATTTATGTATTACAAGCTTGAATGCTGCAGGATATCCTACAAAAACTGACAGAAATTTAACTGCAATATTTCGTAATAGTGTCTGCAGATTTCTTTAAAGTGCACGAAGATTTTTGAGGGTAACTTTTTTGTTACTTTTTAATTATTAATTCCCCCCCCAAAGTTTTACTGTATTCTTATAATACTTTATATAGAGTTTTGCTAAGATAAATTTATAGATATTAAAAAATTCTCACAGCACTATTTCACTGAAACATAAGTGTACGAACACTTTAGGGAACCACTACATATTAGTGTGAATAAGGAAGGAAACATTTTAAAGATGCACTTTACGAACAATGTGTACTTTTTATTGGTGCCTTATCCTTTTTTAGTCATATTGTTAACAAAACTGTACAAAGAAATGCTAAATTGTTTAACTAGATACTATGACCGGTAACTACAATTTAACACAATATCTGCAAAATTATTGGTTTTCGTACATCAAAATAAAATTAGATGAAATGCAATCGTTTCAGAATTTGTTACTAATGTAAAAGGAATTTTTTAACAAGGTTAAATTTCTAATAACACTGAAAAGAGGTTCTTTTAATTAAAGAAAATAAAATTGTTTTTTTTTTTGTTTTCATAGATCAAAATAATAGAGAATTAGTATAAATATGTCAGAAATGTAATAAATCATATTATGTACATGAATTTTTCCTTAAATTATAATTTAATGTTTGTTCTTAAAAAATATATAACCCTTCTCGAGATTGTGTAACTAATGTATAAGGAATGTTTTTAGTTTGCTATTTTTCTACTAACACTGAAAATGGATTTATTGAAATTTAAAATATAAAATTAATGTTTTCATTTTTATAGATCAAAACAATGGGCTCCCGCATGCAGTAATCAAGACTTGTTAAATATATCACCAACTAATTTGTATAAAACTGCACTAATATGTTCGTCACACTCCAAAGATCATCATTACTGTTCACCAAAGATGCGATATTTACATTCCTGTGCAGTGCCGACAAAATTTGAACAAACAGGTATCTACAGTATTTACTGTTATTATTTCAATATGCTTAACAATAGTGCCATCTAAGAAATAACTCATCAATAATAGTGGATCACCTGTCATGTTATGCTCAAAGAATACTGTGCAACAAAATTGATGGTTTGGATCGCCTGTCAAGACTTGTTAAATAAATCACCAACTGATTTGTATAAAACTGCACTAATATGTTCGTCACATTTCAAAGATCACGATTACTGTTCACCAAAGATGCGATATTTACATTCCTGTGCAGTGCCGACAAAATTTTGAACAAACAGGTATCTACATTGTTTATTGTTATTATTTCAATATGCTTAACAATAGCACTATCTAAGAAATAACTCGTCAATAATAGTGGATCACCTGTCATGTTATGCTCAAAGAATACTGTGCAACAAAATTGATGGTTTGGATCGCCTGTCATGTTATGCTCAAAGAATGCTGTACAACAAAATTGACGGTTATTAGTCGAAATATTGACTGTTGATTTTTGGCAAAATTAAAAATTATGTAAAAATCCAAGCATACAGCATTTTTAGAATTATTATATGTATAGTGAAGGTGGAAAATAGGCATTTCTTGCAATTGCTATTTAAAAGAATTAATTTCTAATTTCATAATTTGAAACAATCTTCATCAGGATGAGCTGCAGCAATATTTATTTGATTCAGTGGATTATTTACAAAACTTCTTAATACCTATAGGTTTGATTTTCAAGTTAAGTATTTAATCTTATATTAATAAATGTGAGAAGTATTGAATATTTTATGAACAAAAAGAATGAATGAAATTAGTTATTTTAGTAATTTATGTGCACTTATGTAAGACTTTTTAAATGTAATCTTGTATTTGTTAATTTAAGTGAAATGCTTTTGGCTTTTGGTTGCAAACTTTGCTTTTTTTCATAATGGTCATTCCAAATAATTAAATTTCTCTTTTTTTTTCTTCTTTAAAGTTGAGGTCAGATAATTGTAATGTATTTCAGTGTTTTCAATTTATTTAGGGGTACTTTTAATTGTTTTTAATTATTTTTTCTGTTTCAGGTTAGTTATATGCAAATTTTGCTTGTAAAATTTCACTCTAAAAGTTTAGCTATGGTTTCATAAAAATTTATTATGTGTTGTATGGTAATGTGTTTTTTTCTTTTTTGAAGCTTTACAGAATTAAATGTACTCATTGGTCAAATAATTCTTTGGATTAAATAGATTTTTGGCAAAATTAAAATTATGTAAAATCCAGCCCAAGCATACAGCATTTTTAGAATTATTAGTATGTATAGTGAAGGTAGAAAGTA